TCTTGAACCGCCTCTTGCGGCATAGTATGTATAATAAAGGAGATTAATATGGAAAAATCTAACTGTCAGATTTGTTTACATTGTTCTAACCCTGAGGATTATTGTTATATTTGTTCTGAGCCTTGTAACTATAATTCTGAATTATGTTTTACTTGTAAATATCGTTCTGAGTGTAAGTGTTTACAGCCTGATTTATTTGATTTGGTTTATAAGAAAAATGTGCCTGAATCCGATAACGCTTAAAATCAGAGGCCGAGGTTGGCAGACTGTCTCTTGTGGTAAGTGCGTTGAGTGTATTGAGAAGCGTTCTAAAGAATGGTCGTTTCGTGTCGTTCTTGAAGCTAAGCAGCATGACGCTAATTCGTTTATCACTCTTACATATAACGATGAGAATAAGCCTGAGTGCGGTCTATTGTATCGTGATTTCCAACTTTTTATGAAGCGGCTTAGAAAAAAAATCGGCAAAGTTCGATTTTTTATGTGCGGTGAGTATGGTGAGATGTTTCAACGTCCGCATTATCACGTTATTATATTCGGTTGGTATCCTGATGATGCATACTTCTGGAAGAAGTCTAAAAGCGGTGAGCCGATGTTCCGTTCTCCTACATTGGAGAAGATTTGGACGGCTGGTTTCTCCGTTCTTGGCGATGAGGATGCAGTTCAGCAGAGTTCGGCTATGTATGCCTCGTGTTATATGCAGAAGTTCTCTGATTTCCCTGAGGGTCTGTCTCCGCCGTTCGTTCAGATGTCTCGGCGTCCTGGTATTGGTTGCAATGCAATTCCTGATAATTTACTTCAGACCGATAAAATATGGCTCAATGGTCAATATATTCGTGCACCCCGTTATTTTCTGGACTTATTATCTCGTGATTTTCCTGAGTTCGTTGAAGTTCTAAAGGCTAAACGTCAAGCGTATAATGATATGTCACTTATAGAGAGTGATTCTGGTATTATTGACTATGTTGATCCTGAATCTGGTCAGTGTTTTGTGTTGCCGTCTGAAGTTGTTCATCGTCGGATATCGTTGAAAGAGAGACAGGAAAAAGCGAAAAAATATTTTCAAGGCGTGCTTGACAGTTCGTTTTGCTTATGTTATAATAATAAGGGAAAAGGAGGTGGTTCCGTTGATTTAGATAAATTATTATTGTACGATCTTGCAAAAAATAATAACAAGGAGTGATTTTATGAAGAAGATTGATAAAATTATTGAAGTTCCCCGTATAAAATTCCGTAATGAATTTTATAAGACGGGCGAAGAACCGAAAGGGATTAGATGTAGCCCTGTTCGGAAGATGTATAGATTGAATAAAGCGACGAATGTTCTTGAGGCTTATGATGAGACTAATATTCAGGACTTTGTGAACTCATATCGTGATACGGCTTTATCGTCTGTACTTGAAAAATATCTTCCTGTGCCTGACGCTGCTGACGATGTCGTTGGTGAATATATGAATAATCTTGATGATTTAGATTATCTTACTGAGGCACAGGCAACAGCCGAGAATTTGCGTTCTAAGTATAATTTAGGAGAGGATTTGGACTGGAAACAAATTTTTGGAGAGGTCTCGAAACGTAATGAGACTTTAAAACAACGCATTGATATTGATATGCGGAATAGAAATTTATTAAAAAATCAAAAAAAGGAGGTTTCTCAAAATGAGAAGAAAAAGGATATCGAGAAGAACGAGCAGTCGTAATTTTAGGAGAGTTGCTAGTCGTGTTAAACGTCGCAATTTGAGGAAAAGAGTAGGAAGAGGGGGGTACATGTTATGACGTATTTTTTGTATTCAGTTAAAGACAATGTCGCAGGACGTTTTTCCGCTCCTTCTCTTTCGATTATTGATAATGTTGCGGTTCGTGATTTTAAAGTTTATACCGCTAAAAATCCGTTGAAGTCTGATTTGTCGTTGTATCGTGTTGGTTCGTTTGATATTGAGACGGGCGAAGTTAAACCGCTTTTTTCTGAATTGTTGTTTAATGGTTCAGACATAAAGGACGGTGAGTAATATGAGACATAGTTTTGATATTTTGCCGTCGGTTCGTTATCGTCGGTCTCAAATTCCACTTCCGAGGCGTATTCTTACGTCGTTTTCAGTCGGTCAACTTATTCCTTTGAAACCGCGTGAAGTGCTTGCAGGTGATTCTTTTAAAGTTGATTCGTGTGCCGTCGCTCGTGTTGCGTCGTCGTTTATTAAGCCCGTTATGGATAATCTTTACCTTGAGACTTATCATTTTTATGTCCCGTATAGACTTCTTTACGATAAGACTGAGCGAGTTTTTGGTAATGCTTCACCGTCGGCGTACGAAGATAATGACCTTGCAAAGTTCCCGTCTTTTGATGATTCTGGTGAAGATACTATCACGATAAGTCAGAATTCTATAGGTGATTATCTCGGCTACCCTGTCGGTACAATTTCTAGTAAGGACGTTTCTGTTTTGCCGTTTCGTGCTTATGCTCTGGTGGTGGATAAATGGTTTCGTAATGAAAATATTATTGATGAGATTTACGTTCAAAAAGGCGAGTTTAACAACGAGTTACCGAATAATGATGATTTTGCACCTGACAATTATATGGGAAAACCTTTCAACGTCGGCAGAAGAAAGGATTATTTTACGTCGTGTTTGCCAGCGCCTCAAAAAGGCGTTCCGCAAGGCTTGCAGTTGACGTTTTCTAATGATACTTTTGCTCCTGTATATCCTAAAGATCCGAATAATGATCTAAATATTCACGATCCGTCTAAGTTGCCCGATTATGGTGATCTATCTCTTGGTGATGATCTTCCTGATAGCGGTCCTTTTCCTCTTGGACTTAATAATACTTATTTGGATCGTTCTTGGGTTTATCCTGGTTTTTATGACGCTCCTGGTTCTTATTCTGGTTCTGAATTTTATAAGATTGCTCCACAAAATTTATGGGCTTATCTTGGTAATGTGAATGCTGGACAATTTACTATTAATGATTTGCGTTTTGCTTTTCAAATGCAAAAAATGCTTGAAAAGGACGCAAGAGGCGGTTCAAGATATAACGAATATTTATTGTCCCATTTCGGCGTTAGTGTTAACGATAGTCGCGTGCAGTTTCCCGAGTACTTAGGCGGTTCAAGAACTCCTATTTCGGTGCAAGGCGTAGTTCAGACTTCTCAAACTTCCGAAGATAGTCCGCTTGCAAATGTTTCGGCTTTTTCGTTAACTAATGGTTTTAGTAAATATAATAAAGGTTTTGTTGAGCCTGGCTATGTGATAACGGTTATGTGTATTCGGCAAGTTCATACTTATTCGCAGGGATTGCCGAAAATGTTTACTCGTTTACGTCGTGAGGATTTTTATGACCCATTGTTTGCAAATCTTGGAGAACAGCCCGTTTATAAGTCTGAAATTTTTGCTTCTACTGATGATCATAAAGGTGATATTCTCGGATATAACGAAGCGTGGGCAGATTATCGTTATGAGCAGAATTTGGCTACTGGTAATATGCGTCCAGGTGCAGCGAATACGCTTGATATCTGGCATTTTGGCGACTATTACGAAGAAGCCCCGACACTCGGTGAAGATTTTATTACGGAGAATCCTGAATTCGTCGATCGTACTTTGTCTGTGCCGTCTTCTTCAATGCCGCAGTTTGTCGTTGATTATGCTGAACGTTGTAAATCGTTCCGTGTAATGCCCGTCTATTCTATTCCTGGATTGATTGATCATCATTAACGAGGTGTTTTATGGCGTTATATGATTCTAATTTAGAGTGGTATGATTTGTTTGTCCCTGGATCGCAGCTTCCGCCGTTCTTTGGCGGAGGTGCGGAAAATGGTGAAAGTTTTTTTTCTCGTACTTTCGGCAGTGGAGATTATAAAAATTCTAAGTATTTGCAGGATTCTGCCAACGCGTTTAATGCGTTGGAAGCAGATAAGTCGAGAGTTTTCAACGCTGAAGAAGCAGAGAAAGCAAGGAATTTTTCCGCACAAGAAGCCTTGAAACAACGTGAATTCGAGGAGCGACTGTCTAATTCTGCATATCAGAGAGCCGCTCAAGATCTTAAAAATGCAGGTTTGAATCCTTATTTGCTTTATGGTTCTGCGGGTTCGGCCACTACGCCAGCAGGTTCGAGCGCTCAGACTACTCTTGCGAGTTCTACTCCTGCACACTCTGGCGGAATTTCTGCCACTACAAGCGGTCTCGCTAATAGTGCAATATCTGCTATTGCGTCTATTGCTTCTGCGGTAATAAAAGCAAGTGCATAAAAAAGGGGGGATACTTCCCCCCTTTTTTCATAGTAGTGGTTAGCGGAATAAAGCGAATCAAAACGCTTTTTTCGCTACCCTGACGGAATCCCGTCCGTGCGGAAGCAACGGCCAGGATTACAGGAAGAAAAAGCCCCCCTCAGGGCTTTTTTTCCGTTCCGTTTTCCTGACGGCAGTGCGATAAGCGGACGCACAGAGACGGAAAAACGGCGATTTTGTAACAAATTTTGTAAAAAAATAACAAAAAAATAAAAAAATAAAAAATTTTTGAAAAAATAGTTGTAAAAAAATCGCCGTTTTATTATAATATTAAGAAAAAAGCATACATTACTTGTACATACTATGCTTACTGACACTCTTGAACCGCCTCTTGCGGCATAGTATGTATAATAAAGGAGATTAATATGGAAAAATCTAACTGTCAGATTTGTTTACATTGTTCTAACCCTGAGGATTATTGTTATATTTGTTCTGAGCCTTGTAACTATAATTCTGAATTATGTTTTACTTGTAAATATCGTTCTGAGTGTAAGTGTTTACAGCCTGATTTATTTGATTTGGTTTATAAGAAAAATGTGCCTGAATCCGATAACGCTTAAAATCAGAGGCCGAGGTTGGCAGACTGTCTCTTGTGGTAAGTGCGTTGAGTGTATTGAGAAGCGTTCTAAAGAATGGTCGTTTCGTGTCGTTCTTGAAGCTAAGCAGCATGACGCTAATTCGTTTATCACTCTTACATATAACGATGAGAATAAGCCTGAGTGCGGTCTATTGTATCGTGATTTCCAACTTTTTATGAAGCGGCTTAGAAAAAAAATCGGCAAAGTTCGATTTTTTATGTGCGGTGAGTATGGTGAGATGTTTCAACGTCCGCATTATCACGTTATTATATTCGGTTGGTATCCTGATGATGCATACTTCTGGAAGAAGTCTAAAAGCGGTGAGCCGATGTTCCGTTCTCCTACATTGGAGAAGATTTGGACGGCTGGTTTCTCCGTTCTTGGCGATGAGGATGCAGTTCAGCAGAGTTCGGCTATGTATGCCTCGTGTTATATGCAGAAGTTCTCTGATTTCCCTGAGGGTCTGTCTCCGCCGTTCGTTCAGATGTCTCGGCGTCCTGGTATTGGTTGCAATGCAATTCCTGATAATTTACTTCAGACCGATAAAATATGGCTCAATGGTCAATATATTCGTGCACCCCGTTATTTTCTGGACTTATTATCTCGTGATTTTCCTGAGTTCGTTGAAGTTCTAAAGGCTAAACGTCAAGCGTATAATGATATGTCACTTATAGAGAGTGATTCTGGTATTATTGACTATGTTGATCCTGAATCTGGTCAGTGTTTTGTGTTGCCGTCTGAAGTTGTTCATCGTCGGATATCGTTGAAAGAGAGACAGGAAAAAGCGAAAAAATATTTTCAAGGCGTGCTTGACAGTTCGTTTTGCTTATGTTATAATAATAAGGGAAAAGGAGGTGGTTCCGTTGATTTAGATAAATTATTATTGTACGATCTTGCAAAAAATAATAACAAGGAGTGATTTTATGAAGAAGATTGATAAAATTATTGAAGTTCCCCGTATAAAATTCCGTAATGAATTTTATAAGACGGGCGAAGAACCGAAAGGGATTAGATGTAGCCCTGTTCGGAAGATGTATAGATTGAATAAAGCGACGAATGTTCTTGAGGCTTATGATGAGACTAATATTCAGGACTTTGTGAACTCATATCGTGATACGGCTTTATCGTCTGTACTTGAAAAATATCTTCCTGTGCCTGACGCTGCTGACGATGTCGTTGGTGAATATATGAATAATCTTGATGATTTAGATTATCTTACTGAGGCACAGGCAACAGCCGAGAATTTGCGTTCTAAGTATAATTTAGGAGAGGATTTGGACTGGAAACAAATTTTTGGAGAGGTCTCGAAACGTAATGAGACTTTAAAACAACGCATTGATATTGATATGCGGAATAGAAATTTATTAAAAAATCAAAAAAAGGAGGTTTCTCAAAATGAGAAGAAAAAGGATATCGAGAAGAACGAGCAGTCGTAATTTTAGGAGAGTTGCTAGTCGTGTTAAACGTCGCAATTTGAGGAAAAGAGTAGGAAGAGGGGGGTACATGTTATGACGTATTTTTTGTATTCAGTTAAAGACAATGTCGCAGGACGTTTTTCCGCTCCTTCTCTTTCGATTATTGATAATGTTGCGGTTCGTGATTTTAAAGTTTATACCGCTAAAAATCCGTTGAAGTCTGATTTGTCGTTGTATCGTGTTGGTTCGTTTGATATTGAGACGGGCGAAGTTAAACCGCTTTTTTCTGAATTGTTGTTTAATGGTTCAGACATAAAGGACGGTGAGTAATATGAGACATAGTTTTGATATTTTGCCGTCGGTTCGTTATCGTCGGTCTCAAATTCCACTTCCGAGGCGTATTCTTACGTCGTTTTCAGTCGGTCAACTTATTCCTTTGAAACCGCGTGAAGTGCTTGCAGGTGATTCTTTTAAAGTTGATTCGTGTGCCGTCGCTCGTGTTGCGTCGTCGTTTATTAAGCCCGTTATGGATAATCTTTACCTTGAGACTTATCATTTTTATGTCCCGTATAGACTTCTTTACGATAAGACTGAGCGAGTTTTTGGTAATGCTTCACCGTCGGCGTACGAAGATAATGACCTTGCAAAGTTCCCGTCTTTTGATGATTCTGGTGAAGATACTATCACGATAAGTCAGAATTCTATAGGTGATTATCTCGGCTACCCTGTCGGTACAATTTCTAGTAAGGACGTTTCTGTTTTGCCGTTTCGTGCTTATGCTCTGGTGGTGGATAAATGGTTTCGTAATGAAAATATTATTGATGAGATTTACGTTCAAAAAGGCGAGTTTAACAACGAGTTACCGAATAATGATGATTTTGCACCTGACAATTATATGGGAAAACCTTTCAACGTCGGCAGAAGAAAGGATTATTTTACGTCGTGTTTGCCAGCGCCTCAAAAAGGCGTTCCGCAAGGCTTGCAGTTGACGTTTTCTAATGATACTTTTGCTCCTGTATATCCTAAAGATCCGAATAATGATCTAAATATTCACGATCCGTCTAAGTTGCCCGATTATGGTGATCTATCTCTTGGTGATGATCTTCCTGATAGCGGTCCTTTTCCTCTTGGACTTAATAATACTTATTTGGATCGTTCTTGGGTTTATCCTGGTTTTTATGACGCTCCTGGTTCTTATTCTGGTTCTGAATTTTATAAGATTGCTCCACAAAATTTATGGGCTTATCTTGGTAATGTGAATGCTGGACAATTTACTATTAATGATTTGCGTTTTGCTTTTCAAATGCAAAAAATGCTTGAAAAGGACGCAAGAGGCGGTTCAAGATATAACGAATATTTATTGTCCCATTTCGGCGTTAGTGTTAACGATAGTCGCGTGCAGTTTCCCGAGTACTTAGGCGGTTCAAGAACTCCTATTTCGGTGCAAGGCGTAGTTCAGACTTCTCAAACTTCCGAAGATAGTCCGCTTGCAAATGTTTCGGCTTTTTCGTTAACTAATGGTTTTAGTAAATATAATAAAGGTTTTGTTGAGCCTGGCTATGTGATAACGGTTATGTGTATTCGGCAAGTTCATACTTATTCGCAGGGATTGCCGAAAATGTTTACTCGTTTACGTCGTGAGGATTTTTATGACCCATTGTTTGCAAATCTTGGAGAACAGCCCGTTTATAAGTCTGAAATTTTTGCTTCTACTGATGATCATAAAGGTGATATTCTCGGATATAACGAAGCGTGGGCAGATTATCGTTATGAGCAGAATTTGGCTACTGGTAATATGCGTCCAGGTGCAGCGAATACGCTTGATATCTGGCATTTTGGCGACTATTACGAAGAAGCCCCGACACTCGGTGAAGATTTTATTACGGAGAATCCTGAATTCGTCGATCGTACTTTGTCTGTGCCGTCTTCTTCAATGCCGCAGTTTGTCGTTGATTATGCTGAACGTTGTAAATCGTTCCGTGTAATGCCCGTCTATTCTATTCCTGGATTGATTGATCATCATTAACGAGGTGTTTTATGGCGTTATATGATTCTAATTTAGAGTGGTATGATTTGTTTGTCCCTGGATCGCAGCTTCCGCCGTTCTTTGGCGGAGGTGCGGAAAATGGTGAAAGTTTTTTTTCTCGTACTTTCGGCAGTGGAGATTATAAAAATTCTAAGTATTTGCAGGATTCTGCCAACGCGTTTAATGCGTTGGAAGCAGATAAGTCGAGAGTTTTCAACGCTGAAGAAGCAGAGAAAGCAAGGAATTTTTCCGCACAAGAAGCCTTGAAACAACGTGAATTCGAGGAGCGACTGTCTAATTCTGCATATCAGAGAGCCGCTCAAGATCTTAAAAATGCAGGTTTGAATCCTTATTTGCTTTATGGTTCTGCGGGTTCGGCCACTACGCCAGCAGGTTCGAGCGCTCAGACTACTCTTGCGAGTTCTACTCCTGCACACTCTGGCGGAATTTCTGCCACTACAAGCGGTCTCGCTAATAGTGCAATATCTGCTATTGCGTCTATTGCTTCTGCGGTAATAAAAGCAAGTGCATAAAAAAGGGGGGATACTTCCCCCCTTTTTTCATAGTAGTGGTTAGCGGAATAAAGCGAATCAAAACGCTTTTTTCGCTACCCTGACGGAATCCCGTCCGTGCGGAAGCAACGGCCAGGATTACAGGAAGAAAAAGCCCCCCTCAGGGCTTTTTTTCCGTTCCGTTTTCCTGACGGCAGTGCGATAAGCGGACGCACAGAGACGGAAAAACGGCGATTTTGTAACAAATTTTGTAAAAAAATAACAAAAAAATAAAAAAATAAAAAATTTTTGAAAAAATAGTTGTAAAAAAATCGCCGTTTTATTATAATATTAAGAAAAAAGCATACATTACTTGTACATACTATGCTTACTGACACTCTTGAACCGCCTCTTGCGGCATAGTATGTATAATAAAGGAGATTAATATGGA